GAAGCAAAGTTCTTAACCCAAGGTACTATTTCTGGGTTAGCGGAGTCTGTAACTTGAAGCGTATGTAACCCGAGGTACCACTGTAGATGTCCTGAAAACCAGCATCTGTAATACCTTTAAAAACACCTCAGAAATAAGAGAAGAAATTATAGTCTTTTAAAAAACCATAGGAATTAGATGGCTATATTTCATGCATGATTATTTACATGATTATTAACAGGGCCACACAATGCATTGTGATAGAAATATAAGGCTTGTCCATACCAGTGTTCGATGTGTGCAGCTGACCTTTCTCCCTCCGCCCCTAAGTGCCATGATGAGGTGTCTCGGATAGGTGTTGGTGGAGCTGTTCACAACACACACACACACACACACACACACACACACACAATTTCTCAAAAATAAAAGCTCCGTAAAACTTATGGAGAGTGAGGAAGGACTAACTGAGAGGAGAGGAAAACAACACATAGTCCCAATGCATTCCAGCAGTGTGAGTGGGGAAACATCTACACAGATTTGGAAGCATAGAAACTGAACACCCTCAGGGACCAAAGTATACACACAAACACATGGACATAGTGACTCACATACATATTAATGCCTTCGTTTTGACACAACACTGTCAAACCGATAGTTATGTAAATTCAACCAACATGCGGTATCTGCCATGTCACTCGTTCCATGTCTCTGATACACAAAATATGAGTATGCATGGCTGATGAAGCCCGGCAGGGTGAAACAAGGTATTATTCCGGGAATCCTTGTCACATTTTAAATTCTTTCGTCTGACACCGGCATACAGCAACTATATTTTGCAAAGGCACATGTTAAGATCTTCCGTATCCTTCGTCTGATACCTGCATACAGCAGCTGAATACAACAACCATACTTTGCAAAGGTAGATGTGGAACATTACGAAGAAAAGTTCATCTTTTGCAAGTACTGCTCCTTAAAGTTGTTACGTTTGACACTTGTTTTGGCTAAGACATACGTGGAACACAAAAGCTTCTATTTGGACATTACGTATATATGAATTGATCTATTTGTATTTCCTGTTCTAAATGTTGGTCTTTAATTGCTTCTACTCAATTAGATAATGTGAAAAGAGTTATGTTTATATGATGTATAAAAAATTTATATAGTTAAACACAGCCAGTTACATTGTGCGTATATTTGTTCATTTTGACACAGCCATAGCCTCTGCAAAATCACAGATTTTGAAAAAGTACAATGGCCATGATCTCAGGATTTGCAGATAATGGTGCATAACAGAAGATGGAAATACCATATTACCTCATGTCTCAGCCCTGTTAGGTAGAGACACGTGCCTTGTTTGCTCTCTGTTATATCCATAGTAAGTAATAATATACCTCTTTATCATTCTGAGAGAAAACTTTCAAACCACAGCTTCCAAAAGTATATGGGCATCTATCACTCTAGCTGAAGATAATGATTGATCAGATATGTGATGGTTCTGAACACAATGTCCGTGGTGGAGTGAAAGATAGTTATCAGAATAAAGAATATAATAAAAGAAGGCACAACCAAAGGAATAAAAATCAAAAGCAGATGTCTGGGAAGGATAAAGGAGTATAAAGTGTGAGAGGACTATGAAAAGAGATGCAAGACATCTGTCTAAGTACCTATGTTTATCTCCAGAATTCCCAGGCTTCTTCTTGTGTTCTGTGAGTCCTGGAGATGCGCCACATATAAGTGCCAAATGTAGAAATGGAAAATTATGAATCATTGGACAGGCAACCTTGTTTGGAGTTGTGATGGAATTTCCTGGAGAGTCACCATGCTCCTGTGGTCTGAATGCTAATTAACTCTCCTATTCTAATACTCAGACCCTTTTGTCAGCCAGAACCCACCAGAACTCAGTTCCAACACCTCTCAAGTGGGCGCCCTTTTCATTGTAAGAGAACAAGAGAGAAGTTCGTGGTAAGTTCCAGCACCTCTTTTTCTAGAAAAATAGCACTGCTAAAACCTTTTATCAAAGACCCTCAAAATGTTTCACCTAATGTACTAGATGACAAAGTATTGTTACTTCTACAGAAAAAGGAAATTTGGAAACTGAAGAAGAAAGAGGTCAAAATGATTCCATGAATATAATATCACAAAGGACTCCTGGAATGGAGATAACATGCAATATTAGAATAAGCTGTGAGTTTTAAGCTGTGGGCCTAGATGAGGAAACTGTTGTTCTTTGAGTGGTGTCTTGTGTATCTATTATTTATTAATTAAATTTTTTATATTGCTTTTTGGTCCTTCAATACAGTATATACTTACACACACAGAACTGTACCAGTAAAACTCACAATTTGGAAACTGCACATATGGTGTTTGGTAAACATACTTATCATAACCCTCCTTTTTTATGTATTATGCTTTTTTTAACCTTGTCAGGAGCACCTACTGACCAATAAATTCTCCAGAAACAGGCATTTCTGTTGCTCTGAACTTGTATTTGCCATTTGATACATGATATAAGAGCTAATCACACTGCTTCACAAAAACAATGAAGACAAAACTTAAAGCCAATTTTTTGCAGCTGCTTCTAAGACTATAAACATATTTCTTACACAGAACCTTAAAAATATTTTGTATAGGCTCTATTGCACTTTTAAAAGTGCTATGTGAATAATAAATAATTCTATGTATGCATGTGTATGTATTCAGTCTTTTAGCCTGCCCAGTTCTGAAGGGTCAAGGAATGAGAAATATTTAAAAATACACAATGGAATAAAACATTAACTTCAAAATTACTAAAAAAAAGAGCTTGATAATAATACCAGTTACTGTAAGTCAGTCATATAAAGTCCTTCATCACTTTTGAAAGACGTCCAGGCTCAGGAGTAGGAATTTCATTGATACAAAAATCCCTGCCTCTTGGTACACAGAGATGACAGTGCAGTGACCGAGAAGAATGCAGTGTGGACATATAGATGCTGATGTGGTCTGTGTCAGTACCCATTCAAATCAATATACTGTGTAGTTGACATGCAGGTATGTGTATCTGTCCTCTATTGCAGTGTTTCCCAACCGGTGTTCCGCGGCACACTAGTGTGCCGCGAGATGTTGCCTGGTGTGCCGCGAGCGAGTCCAAAAAAGGTTGGGAAACACTGGTTTCTCTTTCAAAAAGGAAACGTGGGTTAAAGCGGCGACGCCGCCTCCCACTCACTTTCCTGCTCTGGCTTCCCTAACAGTTTTCCAAGTTGCGTCACTGGATCCAGCCCCTTTTCCACATGTGACACGGGGCTGGAGGGAGGAAAGAGGGCTTTACGTCGCGCACAAAGGCAGCCTCCTAGAAGCGCTCTGGGCCGGCGCCGTTTCGCCGAAGGCGCCGGAGGATCCCCACCCTCAGCTCCTTCAGAAAGGAAGCCCCGCCCCTCGGCTCCCTACGCCGCCAGGCAGCTCAGACTGACGAGGACGTTCTGCGGCGGCGGCCGCCGCACAACCACCGCAGTTGCTGGCAGCGTCCGCAGCGCAATAAGTAACAGCGCCTGGTGCTGCCAACTCTTTCTCTCTCTCTCCCGCCCCGCCCCAAGCTCTCGCGCGCCCCGCGTCAACATCGCCGCGCGCAGCTTCCCGAGCTCGAGGCCAGCCGCTGCACGCACGCGCCGGCTCGTCATCGGCTCCGGTTGTTGCCTTTCTCCGCCAAGGTCGGTGGACCCCGAGCCTAGGCTTCCTTCCCGCACCCCGCTTTCCGAAGACCGCACACCAGTTGGGCCAGTACATATTCCCCTCCCGTGACTGGAGCGGAATAGCCCTTTCTCTTCTTCCCCAACCCTTGTCGTTGGAGGAGTCCCTCAGTCCCTCGCTTTGCTGCCTCCTCCCCCCCCACCCCCAAAGCTTGGAGGTTCCCCGGCAAGGGGGAGGGAAAAAAATTGAAAGTTACACTTTCGTGCGTCCCTCCCGGCATGACGCTGCGCGCTGACGTCACGGGGCTGTAATGGTGGTGTGCCTCGAGATTTTTTTAATCAAACCAGTGTGCCTTTGCCCAAAAAGGTTGGGAAACACTGCTCTATTGGACTGCTTTGAATTATAAAGGTAAAGATAAAAAGGGACCCCTGACCATTAGGTCCAGTCGCGGACGACTCTGGGGTTGCGGCGCTCATCTCGCTTTATTGGCCAATGGAGCCAGCGTACAGCTTCCGGGTCATGTGGCCAGCATGAGTAAGCTGCTTCTGGTGAACCAGAGCAGTGTACGGAAACGCCGTTTACCTTCCCGCCGCAGCGATACCTATTTATCTACTTGTACTTTGACGTGCTTTCGAACTGCTAGGTTGGCAGGAGCAGGGACCGAGCAACGGGAGCTCACCCTGTCGCGGGGATTCGAACCACTGACCTTCTGATCGGCAAGCCCTAGGCTCTGTGGTTTAACCCACAGCGTCACCTGCATCCCTTTTGCTTTGGATTATAGTAATGGGTATTTTTTTAAATATCTGCTTATCATAAGTGGTTATTACATTCCTGGTCCTCTTGGCACGGATACAAAAACATAGATACGAACAATGATCCTGCCCTGCTACTCTCCCACTTCACCCACATTTTTATGAAAGGCTTTGCACAGAGGAGTTGCCACCTTCCTGACCTGCCATTCCGATACCCCAAATGTTTCTACTTCTTGCCTTGCGCAATGGCACACAACACAATCAGGTCATTTGTTTGCTTAAACCTGAACATCAACTTGTAACTGATTTCTGTATCCCAACCATGTATTTCTGCCTAAAGAATGTGTTCTCAGTTTTATAGCTCAGTATACAGTGGTACCTCAGGTTAAGAACTTAATTTGTTCTGGAGGTCCGTTCTTAACCTGAAACTGTTCTTAACCTGGAGCACCACTTTAGCTAATGGGGCCTCCCGCTGCCACCGCACCACCGCTACACGATTTCTGTTCTCATCCTGAAGCAAAGTTCTTAACCTGAGGTACTATTTCTGGGTTAGCGGAGTCTGTAACCTGAAGTGTCTGTACCCCGAGGTACCACTGTAAATCTTACCTTTGCTTAAGGAGCTGCTTATTGTCTTCAATGGTTATGCTATCAGCATAATCTCTCTTGAAAATTTCAAAGGCTTCCTTACGTCCAAGTGACATTTCTCCTCTCACTCCTGTTCAGAAAATAAATCAAGAGTGGGATCATTTGCAGAAGTAATGGGATTTAATTTTTTCCTATCTTCTAGAGACATTCCACAAAGACAAGATCAACAAGTCCTCTTGTGAACAGTGAAAAGTGCTTAAAGTAAGGCTACACAGAAGAACACAGGAGCATAGCAAGCTGCCATATACTGAACCAGACCATTGGTACATCTAGATCAGCAGTCTGTACTCAGGCTGGAAGCAGCTTTGCAAGATTTCAGACAGAGTCTCTCCCAGCCCCACCTGGAGATTGAACCTGGGGTGTTCCACATGGAAGGCAGATGAACTACCACTGAGCAACTACCCTTCTAAGAAACTCAAAACCTGGCTAATTTACACAGATGAGCAGTAAATACATCTGCTAAACCATTCTGGATTCTGTTGGCCTTTTTTTCAAAACAACATGGCAACCACTCTTATATTAATCCTATTCCATATTCTGTGGAAACCAAAAATGCCTGTTATAGACCAAGTGGTATAGTTAAAATGACAGATTCAGTTTTGTTTCATGTCACTTGAACATCCGTAAGTCTGAATTCCTTGCATGTTTATTTTTCTGAAGAAGCTATTAATATCTCCTTAATTAAAACCAGAGTGTCAAAAATCAAAGCAGTGGAAATATTTACTAAACCACTGGAATTTTCATGGAAGAAAAGTGCATATTTTCTCCGTATCTTCGCCATTTGTGGTTTTTACATGCCATACCATGCAATATATTAATCAAATTAATATATACAGGAAGTTACCTCAGGCCAAAAAGATTACATATTCATTATTTTCAGTTCACAGAATCCATGTGCTTTACTACTCCCCTAATGAAACCCTGGTGGCTCGCATGCACTCTCAGGTGTGCTAAGTATACCTTATTGGCATCCCACACATTACAAACCAGGCCCCCAGAATGTTTTACAATGCACAGAGGTTCCATTGCAGGTATTCCTCACCACCCAAACCAATGTCAAAGGGGTTATCTGAAAAAGGAAGCTTGAAAACCACTGCTGTCAACTTTTACTCTAAATCCCAAACCAGTAATGTGACCATTTAAAGTAAAACTGAACTAATTTTTACAGAATACCATGCTACTGAAACCAGCCAGCTTTATATGTATGTATACAAGCACCAATTCCCATGAACAGCTCCACTGATTGTAGTACGGTTAACTACACACTAAAGTGAATTTCTCCCCACACCTTTTATATATATATAATTCACTTGCACCCCAGGGAAATGGGAGAATGCAAGAAACAAACTTTTCCCTGAAAACATATTTTATAATATTACGCTTCATTTTACGTGAACAGCACAAGCACATATGAAACCAATAACATGAACTGGAGGGACCCACACGGGATGACTGAAAGGCATAAAGCATGCAGTAGCACTCCACCCATTTAAAAAAAGCAAAAAAACCTATAACGATTTCACATCTGTATAGGCCAAATGAGCTGGAGGGAAAGGGCAGAGATATTGTGTTTGATGCTAACTTAAAAATGGAATGTTCTCGTTCCATGTAGCAGCCCAAAATAAAAACATAGTTTTATGTGTGGACTTGCTGAGCTTTCTCTTCCCATCATGAAAAGCCTTAACCCAGTGGTGGCCAAATTTGGCCCTCCAGCTGTTTTGGGACTACAATACCCATCATCCCTGACCACTGGTCTTGTTAGCTTAACCTGAAACCTCAACTGGCCAGTGGATTCCCCCCCCCTTGCTTAACTTCAGCAGACTTCAATTTGGTGTATCCAGGTTAGTCACAATTTGACTTTAGTCCCTCTAGCTGCAACCTAAGTGTGATCATCTTTCCCCTCAGAAAGGTGCTGTTGCTATTATTATTATTATTATTATTATTATTATTATTATTTACTTATACCCCACCCATCTGACTGGGCTGCCCCAGCCACTCTGGGTGGCTTCCAACAGAATATAAAACACAGCAAAACATAAGACATTAAAAATTCCCAAAATAATAATAATTTATTACTTATTATGCTCCCTGCCCAACTAGGTTCCTACAAAGTGCTGCATATTTAGGAGCACACATTAGGGCAAGTCTGCGGTTAGAGGAGGTGAAGCTACCTGGTTGTACATTTCTCAAAAAACTCAAGGCATTTCCATAACACAAAACTGTTAGACGTCTATTAAAGTGTCTGGAAACTTCACTAATGAACTCCCTGCTCTGGAATAGGGTAACTGTGCCCCTGAAGGGGCAGGTCCACAGTCTGGGAGTCATTTTGGACTCCCAGCTGTCCATGGAGCCAGGTTAATTCTGTCTACCAGCTCCATCTGGTACACCGGCTGAGACCCTACCAGCCCACAGACTGTCTCACCAGAGTGGTACATGCTCTGGTTATCTCCCACTTGGATTACTGCAATGCGCTCTACGTGGGGCTACCTTTGAAGGTGACTCAGAAACTACAACTAATCCAAAACGCAGCCGCCAGACTGGTGACCGGGAGTGGCTGCCGAGACCATATAACACCAGCCCTAAAGGATCTTCACTGGCTCCCAGTATGTTTCTGAGACCTAAAAGGCCTTGGCCCAGTATACCTGAAGGAGCATATCCACCTCCATCATTCAGCCCAGACACTGAGGTCTACTTCTGGTCTTCTGGCAGTTCCCTCACTGTGAAAAGTAAAGTTACAGGGAACCAGGCAGAGGGCCTTCTCAGCAGTGACGTCCTACCTGTGGAACGTCCTCCCATCAGATGTCAGGGAGATAAAGAATTACATAACTTTTAGAAAACATCTGAAGGCAGTCCTGTGCAGGGAAGATTTTAACGTCTGACATTTTATTATTATTATTTTATATTTTGCTGAAAGCTGCCCAGAGTAGCTGAGAAAACCCAGCCAGATGGACAGGGTATGAACAAGAAAATTACTACTACTATTACTAAAGTTACCGTATTTTTCCCTCTATAACACGCAGATTTTTTCTCCTAAAAAGGAAGGGGAAATGTCTGTGCGTGTTATAGAGCGAATGTGTGGTCCCTGGAGCCAAAAAATCAAGCAAAAGTCAAATCGCGAGTCACGGAGAAGGGAAACCTGAAAAGAGGAAGTGGCAGCTTTCCTGCATTCTGCCTCAGGGTCTTACTGCCCACCCTCCTCTGTTTCGTTGCTGTGATTGCTGAAACGGAACAAAGAGCAGGGAAAGCCCCTCCCCTCCAGGCAAGCAGAGTGTCGTTCTTTCTAATTCCTCTCTGTGCTCCGGTGCTGCTGGGGGAGAGGGAGAGAGAGTGGGGGAGGGAGAGGGAGGGGGGGAGGGAGAGGGAGAGAGAGGGGGGAGGGAGAGAGAGGGGGGAGGGAGGGAGGGGGAGAGAGGGAGGAGAGAGAGAGAGAGAGAGAGAGAGAGAGAGAGAGAGAGAGATGGCTGGCTTGGGGGGGAACTTTTGCCCTTCTTTCCTCCCACCCGTTAAATCCCTCTCCAGCATTCTTAGCCAGCTGCTTCTCTGCACACCCCTCTCATGTCCCTTCTTTGTTTTTCCTTCGCTCCCCACTTAAAATGTGGTTACAAAGCATAGATCAACATGGATCCTCAGGATCTTTGCATTGGGTCACCCCAAATTCACCATCAGATCACATAGCATGTCCATGGCTACAGCCTGCACCAAAAAAATCACGCACCCACTGTTGCCTGGGGCTGCAATGGTGCAAAAACGTGGTTAAAAAGCATGGATCCACAGGGATTCTCAGGATCTTTGCATTGGGTCACCCCAAATTCACCATCAGATCACATAGCATGTCCATGGCTACAGCCTGCACCCAAAAAATCACGCACCCACTGTTGCCTGGGGCTGCAATGGTGCAAAAACGTGGTTACAAAGCATGGATCCACAGGAATTCTCAGGATTTTTGCATTGGGTCACCCCAAATTCACCATCAGATCACATGTCTGTGGCCACAGCATGAAGCACAAAAATGATACATCCACTGTTTCATTCAGAATGTTTTTTCCCTTGTTTTCCTCCTCTAAAAACGATGTGCGTGTTATGGTCAGGTGCGTGTTATAGAGCGAAAAATACGGTACATTTCATTTTAATTTCTATATACAACATTTAAGTTCCTTTTCCATCAAAAAGCCTACTTAAAAAAAGGTTTTTTTGCCCCAGGCCACATGGTAACAGATTCAATTCAATTCAGATTCGAAAGAAAAACCATGGAAGAGGGCTGGTGAGAGTTGACTTCTCCATTCCTCCTGCCCTTAGAAAAGCCATTTTCAGTGGTTGGGGACCCCTACTGATCAGGGTCACAAAGAGTCGGACATGACTAAACGACTAAACAACAACAACAACAACTGATCAGGGTGAGGACTGAGAGGGAAGATCTGCATTCAAATCAGGCAGAGATAGCTTGTGTCAGTAGGAGCTACATTTGCAGAAGCGCCTCTGATTTGGGTGGGATCCTCCCTTCTCCTCAACCCTCTGCACCACATTCCACCTTTTTCACCAAGCCCGCCCCTGCAATCCAAAAGGCAGGATTATCCTAGCCAAATTCATGGGTTTGGAAAAACCACACAGTATGATTTGAAGTGTCACAACTGTGGCAGTCAGCGACAGCAAATTCTGGTCTAACAGTTCTTAAAAATTATTGTCAAAGAACTATTTAAAGGACAGAGCCTAGTTAGGAACACAGCACATGCTAATCAATATAACCAAATCTGCAATCCAAATTACATTTATGAGGGCATTAAATCCTAACAAATCTGGTGGGACTTACTTTGGTATAAACATCCTCAGGATTTGTTTATTTGTAAGATGTATACCCCACACCTTCAATGCCAATCAGCACCAGGGTTTTGCTGCCAAGTATTTTCTTCAAAGGTTGGATCCATTTTGAAGAATGGCTCTTAATTTGCTACTTTCTCTTCCAGTAGCAATCAATACTCAAAGACAATTTAATACTCAAAGACAATTTTAGAAGACAGCATGGTACTAAAGTTTAGCACCACACCAGTAGAAGCTGGGTAGCAACCCCCAGCC